AGAACCGCCGGTCTTAATGGAAGCGTTCTGCCTCCTCTTTCTCTCGCTGAGCAGCTGGTCGCCTACCATCCCCCCACTTGGTCAGAGGGTGGAGATCACTTGCTCCAGCATGGGGGTCCGGCCTCCCCACAACTGAATGGGTCCAAAGGGTGGTTACATTCACCCCTCACTCTGGATCTGGTCGCCATGGGAGAGGTGAGCATGTGCAGGTCTCCTCTGGCATTTCTTTCGTTCATCCCTCAATTACCCAAACACCCCCTAAGACCCATTCTGCTGTGGAGGCTGGACCCCCACCCTCCAGGGCCGATCAAGTCTACTTCCTCTCTCTTTACACCTTCTCCCCAAGTCCTCCGGGACTGCGCCCCCACCCCCCATACCAACTGCTGGCATTTGGAGGGGAGGGAGATGGCCCGATACACCTTCTTTTCAGCCAAATGCTTTTCTAGGGCTTCACCCCCGAAAGTGTGTGTGTTATAGGGGTGTCGTCGGGGGTCTCCAGGCCTGAGAATGACCCAATGTGGTTTCTGGCTTTAGCTGTGTAGCCCTGGGCAGGTCACTGCCTCTCTCTGGGCCTCAATTTTCTCACCTGAAAAAACGAGGTCAATGACCTTACTTCCCACACCCGGGGAGTGCAGATGTCACCGGCCAGCCCTCAGCAACCAAAAGGGAACAGCTCCGGTTTGTGGCACTCGCTCATTTCCATGCATAGCGACAAGCGCATGTGGGCCTGTTTCACTGGGCACGGAAGTGGGACGAGATGGGCACCAGAAGCCCGTGCCACCTGGCTGTGGCACATCCCTGCCTGCTACTCAGGGACGCAGGGCATCTGAAGTGAGATCATGACTAGGGAGTGCTGTGTGAATGGCAAAGCGCTCAGTGGATGTGGGTGTCCTACAGTCTGCCCCCCACAGCCCTGGCCACCCTGGCCGGACTACAAACTCTGAAGGCAGCAGGTGGAGGGTGGCGGCAGCCCACGTGCAAGTGGCAGTGTCCCGAAAGCCTGCTGGGGTCGCTCCTGGGGCCCTGACAAGGGAGGCTAGCATGGACTGCACCTCCTGTGCTGGTTAACGGGCTCTGTCTTTGCTGGGCCACCTTCGCCAGGCCCCCTGAAACAGAAGCAGGCAGGATGAAGGTGAGACTTCGATGGAAGATTCCTTTTCCATCAGAGAGGTCTCCTGAGTGAGAGACTCAAACCAAGAGTCTCCTCCTGCTTTCTACACTAATCCCTGGGAGTCGGGATTGGCCCTGTCTCTCTCTACCACAGGGGAAGGACAGAAATGGCCTCTGGGTGTGGAGATTCAGGAAGAGGGGAGTTTAGTCTCTGCTAAAGAGAGAAGGAAGGAAAAAAAAGAGCGAGAAGGAGGTGGGAGGAAGGAAAGGGGAGTTCCCTCTGTTTTACACACACACACACACACACCGCGCTCTTGCCTTAAATTAATGCTGCCCCACTGCTAATTATTAATAATAGCCATCATTTATTGAGCACATACTGTGTGTTAAGTTATTTACAAGCAATATTCCATCTAATCCTCTAGAGAGGTATGTATTATTAGCCCTGTTTTACAGATGAGCAAACTGAGGCCCAGGAAAGGAAGCTGGGTAAATCCCACAGCTCCTGCATTCGACCACCAACTCCATGCGCCCTGGCGGTACTTCAGGCAGCAGGGAGGGGCGTGACCCCCCCATATACATCTCTCAGAGCCCTCCACCCAGCCTGGAGTGCCCCTTTGAAGGCCTCAGGCAGGGGGGGACCTCTTTCCTGGGTGCGTGGTCTTAGACAAATCATCGAACCTCGCTGAGCCCCCTTCCCTCACATGTGATAGAGAGCTTCCTTCCGTGAGGGGGCCAAGTCCCATGGCCACCACACTCCGAAGCTGCCCCTCAGGGGCTGCCTCACACAATGGAAGTGAAAGGGCGGGGTGGGGGGTAGGGGGAGGGTGCTCTAAAGTCTCAGCGCCTTTCTAAGTTCTCCTTGGAGTCTGAGTGACAATTCCGTTGAGGTGGGGAGGGAAACAGGGGCGCCAAGTCCGGGTATAAATGTGGTGACTGTGAGCTCTGGCCTGCAGGAGTGCAGGGAGGACTACAGAAAGATTCTGGGGGTGTGGTGGGGGGTGGGCGGGAGGGCAGACCCTCAGGAGGAGGTAGGGGCCAAAGGCAGGTGGCACCTGGACTGCTGGGCCCAAAGCAGCAAGACCATTAGGGAGGTCATCGGGTCTGGGGTCTGAGGGCCAGAGCCCAGCCACTTTGGGCTGATGGAGGCTGGGGTGATGGCATGTGTCCGTGAGCATTTCTGTGTGCCAGGCATTCTCTCCAGGGAGGCAGTGTGAGCCCCAATTATCAGATGAGAGAGAGGCCCAGAGAACGGAGGCTGTCCCAAGTCACAGGCAGGAAACGGTGAGCTGGCACTCACACGCAGGTCTACCCACGACCCAAATCCTAGCTCTTCAGTGCCTTGCTATCCCGCCCCAGGATACAAAGCCCGACCCTGGGGGGGGGGGGGGGGCCCCCAGCTGTCATCACCTCACCGCTGAAGGAGCTGGAGCAGGCGCCAAGCCCAGCACCACCTCCAGGGCAGGCAGCCCTGGGCCAGTGAGGTGTGGCAGGCAAGCAGCCCGTCCACCAGGAGCTGTCCAGGGAGTGGAGGGGCCTGGCCGGGCGATCATGCAGAGCCAGAGGTGGGCTGCCTCACAGTCCTGCTCCAGCTCGGTGTCCAGTTACGGCCAGCTCGGCGCTTCCCTGGTCACGCCACATTTAGCACTGCAGAGTGAGCAGGCTCCGGGACATGGAGAAGGGGATGAGGACTCTTAGAGGGGAGGGAGAGCCTCCCCACCGTTCCCCACCTGGACCTCAGCCCTGTAAGACTAGGGGAAAGTTATCTCTCGTTCTTTGGTCCCATAACCCCTTCTGCCAAAGGAAGGGAACAGCTGGGGCATGGGGTGGGGGGTGGGGGGATTCTAAGACCATCCGCCCCCTCCGAGAGCTCAAGGGATAGTATGGCTGGGAAAGGCAGCTTCCCCACTAGCTCTTGTGCACAGGGGTCTTGGGCACTCAAAACACACTGCCGTCGAGTTGATCCTGGGTGGTAGTGACCCTACAGGACAGAGTAGAACTGTCCCTGTGAGTTTCGGACTGTAAATCTTCACAGGAGTAGAAAGCCTCATCTTTCTCCCTCCGAGCAGCCAGTGGTTTCAAACTACTGACCTTACAGTTAACAGCCCAATGCACTATGCCACCAGGGCTCCTAAGGGGACGGGATTGGAGTAGGAGGAGTAAATATAACCCCCTTGCTTCCCCGCCCCCACCTGGACCCCTCTCTGTTTCTCCCACTCTCCACCTCCACCCCTAGCAAAGACATAGGAAAAAGAGTAGTGGGTCCCAGGGTTTGACCTGGGTTCGAATCCACTTTGTCTAACCCCGCTGAGCCCGGAACGTAGAGTTGACCATGTCCCTTCCCCACAGGTTTGTTCTCATAGTTCTATGAGGAAATCCTACCCATCAGCGGCCAGCCCAAACAGTGTCAGCTGCCGGTAACTTTTGTTAGACACCGCGTGGGCAAAAGGAGTGGATTTGCAAGGAGCTGCCCTTTGCAGCAGGAGAAAGAGGGAGCTTTCTACTCCTGTCATGAGTTACAGTCTTATAAACCCTCAGGGGCGGTTCAACCCTGCCCTACAGGGTCGCTCTGAATGAGAATCAACTCAACGGCAGGGCGTTGGGTTGGGGGCTTGGTCCTTTGCAAGTGGTGGAGAGGACAAGGAGCCAAGGATAAGAAGAGGCACGCCAATAATGGTATCCATAAGAGCTGACATTGATTGAGCACTTCCTATGTGTTGGAGGAGCCCTGGAGGTGTAGTGGTTACGGGGTGGGCTGCAGTCCGCGTGGCCGGCAGTTCAAAACCACCAGCAGCTTCTCGGGAGAAAGATGGGGCTCTCTACTCCGGTACAGTGAGACACCCACAGGGGGTGGCTGTGGACCACCATTGACCCGCTGGCCATGAGTTTTGTGTTTATGATGTGGTACTGGAGAGAGGGGAGGCTTTCTGTTCCCAGCCGTTCTAGCCTGTCCTGTAGGACTTAGGAGCCAGGGGCTGGACCCACTCCCTGGAGTGACTGCGTGGTAAATGCTTTCCCTGCACGATTTCACGGAATGCTCAGAATTCTATCAGTCAGGGCTGACCATTCTCTGGGGTTTAGAAGCGACGATACCAAAGCTCAGGAGAACTTGCTAAGGAAGCGGGCAGGCCAACCTTTATGCCCGGCGCCTTCTTAGCCGCTGAGCTGCGCCAAGGACAGGGTGCTCCATGGTTCTAGACCGTCTGGGTAGAAAGACCCACCAGACATCATGTAGTCTGAGCACGTAGCTTTTCCGACGGAGACACTGAGAAAAGGGCACAGGGTCATGGGTAAGTGTTGGAGCTGAGGGTGGGGAGTGGGTGTAGAGGAGACAGCACCTGCTGGACATGACACAGGGGGCCAGCAGCACCGCCCCAAGGCCCCTCAGACCCCAGCTGCACACTGTGGTCCTGCTGCCCGGATAAGACCCCAAAGGTGCTACCACAGGACCCGCCTCCGCTGAGGGCTGAGTCACCTGCAGCACAGTCCCCGCCCCCCACAACTCCCACCCCCACATCTAGGCCAACCTTCCCACCACCCTCACCAAGCAGAGCCTGCCAGGCCCAGCCCCTCCCTGAGCCCTAGTCTGGGTCTTGTGCAGGCACAGCCTAGCCCAAGCCGCTCCGAGGTCAGCCCTCTGGCTCCCTTGGCCTCTCTCCACACCGCCATCTTTCTTGCGTTGCTTCTCTTGTTTGTCTATTTCCTTCTGCTTCTGACCCATCCCTCACTGTCATCTGTCTGTCTGCCTGTCCGTCTCTCTGCCAGCTGGCAGGAGGCAGGGCTACAGCCCAGGGAGAGGGTGGGAGTGGAAGTGGACCTGGGGTTGGTCACCCCTGGACGCTGGTCCCCCTCTCATCGCAGCCGGCTTTCTTCGAGGCCAGGACTGGGTGATGGTGTCGCTGCTCCCACCGCAGTCTGACGTCACGCTGCCGGCCTCCACCAGACTGGACGGCGAGCCCCAAGGGGACCTCATGCAGGCGCCGGCCCTCCCAGGCTCACCTGCCCCTCAGAGCGTAAGTAGCTTGCACCTAAGCCTGGGCTGCATCGACAGGGGGTGGGGGGTGTCACTCACCTCTTACCTTCCTGCCCCAACCCCCGGGGGGACCTCCCAGGACCTGTCTTGGCCCTTTTACCAGCAAGCCAAGGTCTCTGTGGCCCCATGATCCCAAAATGTTCAGCCCGGGGCCTCTGCCTGCCCCTTTAGTGGGGGGGGGGGGCGGGCTTTCCCAGGGCAGGGCCAGGTGGAGCCCCGTCAGATTTGGGACTCCCCAGGTTTGGGGGCAGGGTGTCCGCATGAGATTGGGGTTATCTTTGGGGGGTTCCCTTTCATAGAGAAGGGTCCTGGGTCCTGGCAGGCCTGCTGCCCACCGGCCCCGCCCGCATCCCCACCCCGAGCCTCTCCGCTCACAGGCTCTCTACTGTCTGTCCACCCAGAAGCATGCCGGCTTCAGCTGCTCATCCTTTGTGCCCGATGGCCCCCCGGAGAGGACGGCCTCGCTGCCCCCCCACAGTCCCAGCATCGCCTCACCAGGCCCCGAGCAGGTGCAGGGCCAATGCCCAGCCGGCCCCAGCCTGGGTCCCTTCCGGCTCTCACCCTCAGACAAGTACCCTGGTGGCTTCGGATTTGAGGAGGGTCCGGCAGGCAGCCCCGGACGCTTCCTCAAGGGCGGCCATGTGCCTTTCCACCCGTACAAGCGGCATTTACACGAGGACGTCTTCCCAGAGGCCCAGACCGCACTGGCCCTGGATGGACACTCCTTTAAGACCTCAGCGTCACTGGAGGTCTTCGAGGAGGTCCCCGTGGATGCGGGGGACGCTGAAGCTTTCCTGCCTGGCTTCTCGGCGGAGGCCTGGTGCAACGGGTTCCCCTTCCCCAGCCAAGAGCACAGCCCTCAAGTGCTGGTGAGTACCCATGGCTGGCCCTGCAGCCCAGAAAGAGGTCAGCACTCTCGCTGCCCCGGCCTTCTCCTCAGGGGCAGTGCGCGCCAGAGAAGGGCAAGCTTGGGGCCTCCCGGCCTCGGGCAAGACCTTCCAGGTCAGCTGGAGAGGGCACCCTGGCCAGGCCCAGCACGGAGCAGGTGAACTGGGGAAGACAGGTCAGGCTAAGGAACCGCAGCCTCCCAGCGGCTCTGGAGTCAGGATCCCAGTGTGGGACTCCTGGCTGTTCCTTCCCGTGTCAAGAATCCCCAGGTGGACCTACAGGCCCACATGCAAATGTGAGAAGAAAAGCACACTCCAGCCAGTGAGCCAGCAAGGGTGGGGGGTGGGTGAGGGGCACTCGCCCGGGTCCCATCCTTTGCCCGGAGCGGAGGCCAGGTATATTCCTAGAAACATCTTGAAGGCACTTTGGAAGGTCCTCACGTGTTCTTCTGCCACCGTCCTCACAGACGGTGCGACCTTAGGCAAGCCACTTCACTTCTCTGAACCTTCCCCCTAAAACAAAGTTAACAATATCCACATCACAGGGTGCCGGAAGTGAAAGAGAGCTTTGCCGTCTCTCCCCGGAGCTGGTGGGTCTGGAATGGGCTGGGCTGGGTTATGCTCACAGGCCCTCCACCCCGCCGGCTCCCAAACAGGCCCCCATTCCAGCCCCAGGCCACCGCTAACAAAGGTCTATTTACCTGGCTCAAGGAGGCCAAGACAGGACCTTGCTCCGCAAGCCCCTTGAGCATGACAGCACCCCACAGTCTCCCCTCCTGCTCTCCTGTGTCCTGTTCACTTCCCACCAACCCAGGTCACTTGGCCAGGAGCTGTCTCTCAAGTGTCCCTTGAACCCTCTCACCAACTCTCTGGAGAGTTCCCACCACCCCCATCTTGCAGATGAGGAAACTGGCTCCTGGCCCCTTCCCCCCCACCCCCCAGCCCACCGGGAGCTAAGGTGAGGGTGAGGTCTGCCCCGCGGAGAGAAGCTCAGGCCCGGAGACCTGCGCCTGCTGGCCGACTGAATGGGTGACCCGGGGCACAGCAGTTGCCCTCTTTGGGCTCAGCCCCATCATCTGTCAAATGAGGGGTTTGGACACAAGTGCGCTGGGCCCTTCCAGGCCTAAGATTCTGTGATTGAGACAATCTCCACATCAACACCCCGGGGCACACCCAGAAAGCAGGTCCGTTGCTTGGACTCCCCGGGATCAGATTCCGCTGTCCTGAGGGCCGAGGCAGCCCCCAGCAGCGTTCTCCTCCAGGCCAGGCTCACCAGCGCCGCCCCCCCCACCAGGCCCAACTGCTCACTCACCCCTCCTGACCCCACTCAAGAAGGGCTCTGTCCTGGGACCTGGGGGACCATGGGAAGCCAGTGTCACTACCACTGGCACAGCTATAGGCAAGAGTCCGGGTCTCCCGGACCCGCACCTAGGAGACCTTGCAGGAGGGACAGCCAGGCAGGTGGGAAGTATTCACTGACCCTGTCCAACGAGGCCCTGGGCTTCGCTAAGGAGGAAGTATCAGGGGCCTGGGGGCCACAGCTGGACCAACCTGCCTGACCACTCACTTCCCATGGTCCATCTTCCTCCTTCTCCTCCTTCCCACTCCGTGGCTTAACTTGACATCACCCACTGCCCTCCAGTCAATTCCGACTCAGATCCAACCCTACAGGACAGGGTAGAACTGTCGCTGTCAGTTTCCAAGATTGCTGCTCTTTAAGGGAGTAGAAAACCTTGTCTTTCTTCTGTGGAGTGACTGGTGGTTTTGAACTGCTGACCTTGCGGCTAGCAGCCCGACACGCAAACATGATGCCACCAAGGCTCCATGCGCCATGGCTGTCCAGTGGGAATTCTGGGGCTCCGACAGGCAGGGGCTCTGAACAGCAGGCTCTGAGCTGGGTTTAGGGAGCTGAGGACAGGTGCCTAGCTCTCCAGCTGTACCCTAGCCTTGAGGTGACCATTAACAGGTCTCCCCCACTTCTCGAGCTGGCTGCACTCACCTAGAGGGAGGTGGTAGGTAAGGAGCATGGTCAGTTCCAGCCCAGCTCCACCACCAGCTTGCTGTGTGCCCTTAGCCAAACCTCTGCCCCTCTCTTTTCCTTCTCCAGAAATAAGCTTCGTGGGGGAGGGCAGGGGCTGCCTTGGGGAGAAGCAAAGGTTTAGAAGGGAGAGAAAACAAAGCTTTGGTGTGGTCATCTGCTTTCTCTTCCAGCAGGGATCGGAGGTCAAGGTCAAGCCCCCCACTCTGGAGAGTGGTCCTGGGATGTACTGCTACCAGCCCCCCTTACAGCACATGTACTGCCCCTCCCAGCCTCCCTTCCACCAGGTGAGTCTGAGGCAGGTGGGCAGGCCTCCCCGAGGTCCCAGGCTCTTCTCCTGGGGCGCTCTCAGTTGTGTGAGGGTGTGTGTGTGTGTGAGGGGGTGGGCACTGGATGACAGGTGAGGGCAACAAGGCCCTGGGTGGGGGGGGTGCAGGGAAGGGGCAGGCAGTGGTGAATCAGGAAGGAAGCATGTGGCCTGAGAGGTCTCAGACTCAAGAGCCAGGCTGAGACTGGGGCAGGGTCCAGGATGGGAACCACAGGGACAGGAGGAGGACAGTCGCCACAGAGGGATGGGCACAGAGAATGGGAGTGTGTAGGATTACCCGTGAGGCCAAGGCCTGTTCTAGGTCTGCCATCATCCCGCTATGTGACCTTGGTCCCCAATTCCCCTTTCACCTCTCCCTGGTGACATTCCACTTCCCCACCCCACTGCCCAGCTCAGCCCTCCCACCCACAGGGTGCCAGGGAATTGCCCGGCACTGGCACAGGATGGAGGCTTTTAAAAAGGGGGAAGAGTAAGACACTCAGAGCAGCCAGGCAGCTCCCAGGAGTCACCGGGCAAGACGGAGCAAGTGGCTGCCCAGCACCCAGCTCCATCCACCTGCACCCTGGCACCGAGACAGGCCCTGCCTGTGGAGCAGGTTCCCCTCCCAGCTCTTTGGCATGGGCCCTGGTCTTGGCAGAGCCAGGGAGACCGGCACGGGTGGGGGAGGGGCCTGCTGCCTGCTTGTTGGGGGTTGGGGGGTGGTGAGAAGGCAAGAGAGGGAGGTCGGTCAGAGGGAACCCCTGGGACAGCTTCACCGCCCCGCTGGGGCAGAAATGGCCCAGGGTCTGACCCAGGAGAGAGGGTCAGCTCATTCCCAGGGACAGAGCAGGGCTGAGGGGCCCCCAGCCCTCAATGGCCTCGTCATGCCCCTGCCCTGCTCGGATGTCCTCTGGGCTCTGCACCCCCTTCCCAAACAAGATGGCCGAGCCCCCGGGCTTTATGGACCTACCGAAGAGGGTGACTCAGGCATTAAGTGCCTCTCGGGTGACCTGGAAAGAGCCCTGCAGCCTGGAGCAGCTGGGGGAGTCAGGGGCTCCTCCCCCACTCCCATAAAACACCATCCTGGCACCACGGCCACTCCCTCCACTGTAAAACTGCCTCCCACCCCCACCTGCCCACCACCACGACCAGCCCTTTGAAAGAGCCACTGAAACTCATAAAAGATAGGTGGCAGTCAGTGCCCAGCAAACGCCCAGGCTGGACACTCCACTTCCGGCCCAGCAGCTCCATGGCGCTGCAACGGAGGCCTGGGGCCCCTGCCGGCCCTGCTCTGCCCTGCCCTGCGGGAAGCAGTGCCAGGCAACCAAAGGGCCTGAGGGTCGGAGAGGGTCGGAGAGGGTTGGAGGGGCTCTGGCCAGGTCCTCACCCCTTGGAGTAGGGGGAAGGGAGGCAGAGCCCCTGATGGGGAGAGAGAGTGGAGTCTAGCCTCAGCTCCCTCTTGGGAAGAAAATAAATGGGAGAGGGGTCCCACCTGGGAAATCACTGTGCCCTTTGACCTCTACAGTACTCACCAGCGGGTGGCAGTTACCCTGTGCCCTACCTGAGCGCCTCACACTACCCATACCAGCGGATTGCACCCCAGGCCAGCTCTGATGGGCACCAGCCTCTCTTCCCCAAACCCATCTATTCCTACAGGTACCTCCCCCTGCACGCAGGGGTAGTGGGGGGGGGCGGGAAACTGAGGCATGGGACTCTTAGGGCAAAAGGGGACCTGGCAGCAATTAGAAGGCCTCCTGAGGATGCTAGACAGACGTTTCCTATGTGGGGATGGACTGGATGCCCTCTGACCTCTGGCCTGACCTCTGAAGGTACCACTGACCCAGGGTGAGCCTCGAAGGCTTAAGAGGTTCTTGTCCCGCTTCACCAAATACAGCAAGTGCCCCCCTACCCCCACCCCGCCCCAAGGCTGAAGACTCAATTATTCACCGGATGACAGGTCTGAGGGGGTTGTTTTGGGGCCAAGGCTTGAAAGACCAGGCCAACAGGACCCAGTCCATTTGGGGGACCCTTCCATCTGTCCTGTCATTCACCCAACCTTGACCTACTGGGCGCCAGGCCCTGCATAGAGCCAGGCCATCAGCGAGTAGGAGCTCAGAGGAAGGAAAAAGGACAGAAACACCTGCCAGCGGCACAGGGGCCGGGTCAGGGTTGGGGGTGGGGGGGCAGCACGAGGCCCAGGGAGGTGCCCATACAGGCCTTGGAGGCCAGGAGAATTGAGTTCACGTCTAGGCTCTGGAATTTACTAGCTGTGAAAGCTCAGGTGAATGACTTAATCTCTCTGAGCCTCTGTTTGTCCATCTGCATGCACTTATTTAAGGGACAGCAGCTCAGGACGGTGGGGAGGATGGAGCGAGAGAGGTAGGGACAGTGCCTGGCACATGTCAAAGATCCAGAAACTGGAGCTTCTTCCCTGCACTTGGTCAGCCGGCCGAGGACTGGCCGCGGTAATGACCGTGCCAGGAGTGCCTTCTACATACCAGACATCACCCTCACCTCCACAACTCAGAGCTAGGTGTTATGGTCTGCCTGCAGAATTGAGGGCACGGGCCCAGAGAGGTGTCACACAGAGCCACCCAGCTGGTGGGTAGCTAAGCCCGGATGGCCACCAGGTCTCTCTCGAGTGCCACCAGCCTTCCTCTCTCTGTGTGCCCAACTTCAGTGGACGGGCAGGCCTACTATCTCCTCCCCCCTCCTTTCGACTCCAGAGAGCCTCTCACCTATTAGCCTTGCAGCAGGTTACTGCTCTATCACTACTGCAGCCACGGGGGCGATGGGTAGGCTCCGAGCCTGGCCATCGATTCGGAATGTCAGAAGGCTTTCTCTGCCTTCAGCATCCTCATCTTCATGGCCCTTAAGAACAGCAAGACCGGGAGCCTTCCTGTCAGCGAGATCTACAACTTTATGACGGAGCACTTTCCGTACTTCAAGGTGAGCCCATGACACCCTCACCCACCCCCAAGTCCCAGGCAAGTCGGGCCTCTCTGGAGGCAGGGGGGGCTGCCCTGAGGTGGGGGAAGGGTTAGACTGGCAGCTAGGAGGGGGTCCTCTTGTCCTCCACAGGACAGACTTCCTGGAGAAGGTATTAATTCTGGGTGGGGAGCACAGAGCTCAAGAGTGTAGGCCGCTCGCTGCATTCCGCAGAAGGCTCCCGGTAGACCGTCTCCAGGCCTACACATCCCTCTGGATGGGCTTCAGGGAGCATCTGCCTGCCCCCAGTGAGGAGAGAGTTTGGGAAGAAAGGAGAGGCTGTCCCCAGCCCTGCCCCCAGGGTGCTGCAGAAAGAAGGAAGGAAGGAATTTGGGTGGGAGCTGGCCAGCCAAAGTGACATGGGATCCTGGGGCCACGGAGCCCATTGGCTTCCAGCCAGAGATAAGGATCTGCCCCTGTGGGCGGCGGCAGCTACCCTGCCAGAAAGCGGGGTGTGAGCTTCACTCTGTGAGTGTCCCAGAGAACTGGCAGGCTCGCCTGGCACCCCTCACAGCCCCATGGGCAGGATCTCGTTCTGGTCATCTCCAGAGAAAGTTCCTGGGGCCCCTGCCCTTCTCCCCAGTGGGTAAACATATCCAAGAAGGTGGTGCATTTGGCCAGGGTCACACAGCAGGTGTTTGGCTTCACAAATCACCCCCTTCTCTGCCTTCCCTGCCTCTCTCTCACACACCGGGCACCCCTCAGCACACACCCTTTCTTCTGAAGATGGGCCACAGGGAGGAGGGGGGTATGGGAGGAGAGAGGGGGAGGTGAGTCTAGTGCTGTGTGTGAAGGGTGCCGTCTCTAGGAAGACCCAGCCTGGGTGCTACCCTGCAGAAGGACGGATTCGAGCCTTGAGACTGAAGAAACCCAGAACCCAACTCCACCTGCCAGGGGGTGATTCCTGCCCTCACCACCCACCCAATTGTCCTGCCTGAGGGTGATGTGAGGCTAAGAGTCAAACAAGTTTGGTCTTGCTAAGCTACCGTCCTCTTCAGAGGACAAGATGGACGGGGTGGTCTGACCAGAAGGGAAAAGCCTGGTGATTGGAGTTTCTAGAAGGAAAGGGAAAGGGGAGGGGGGAGAAGTGTCTCTGGCATGGGAGAGACATCAGAGACAGTATCCAGGGCTGCCCCCCACACCCCAGGAGGGCAGAAGGAGCCCAACACCCCTAGAGCTTCAAGGCGCTGGGCCAGAGAGAAAGGGAGTGAGGGCCCTGCCCTACCCTCTCAGCTCCCTCCCTGCCAACTCCCAGCCTGGCCCCCAGCCCCTCCCTCCATCTCATCTTCCTGGCTTAATTATTTTTCCTGGGAGCTGTGTAATCCCTGTTTTATGGGGCTGAAGAGTGAAGAGGTCTGACAGCTTTTTTTTCGGTTCTCGTTGTTGTTCTCAGCGAGGTGCCTCACCCCTTCCCTCGCCTGACTTCAGAGAGAAAGCATCTCTGAGCTGGGGCAGGGAGGCGGGCAGCCAGGCAGGCCCCATGGATGGGGTGAACAGGGCAGGGTCTTGAGCCAGGAGCTGGAGCTGGAAATCAGGCCTCGGTGGCCGCCTTTTTGTGGGATCTCGGGCTTCCACTTTCTGCTCCGGACCTGAAGTTCCCAACGTGGACGATGGCTGGATAGGACCAGCCGGTCCATCGGCCACCTTCCAACGCTGGTAGTCCTCTGTCCCACTGAAGGAACTATTTCAATCATCTCCTGCCCGGCCCAGGTCCCCACTCCCCATCTGAAGGTCAGCGTGGACCCTGAGGTGGGCACCAGCCCTGCCCAGTATGGCTGAGGCGGATGACTTGTTGCCCATGGGTCAAGGCGTGGGGCTGAGAATTATGTCCAGCCGATGGACGTAATTGCTAGTGCTGACCATCCCTACTCCAAACAGGAAGTGGCTGGGGTGGGGGCTCCCCTGGCATCCTGAAGTCACAGATTTATGGGGTCATAAAAAGGCCCAGTGGCTATTAACTCTACCCATGAGGCTACAGTTCCTGGACTCTTTGTGGTGACTGTCCGGCAGTTGAAGAATGCCCAGCTGCCTGGTCTGCTGGCTCAGGAGTCCTCCCTTGGGGTCCTGGGGGGTCACTTCAACCGCCTGCTGCTCTTCCCCCAGGAAGGCTCCAGCGGTTCCTGCCAGCAACTGGCAGTGATGTTGGCATCAGAGCCTGGTTCTGCTGGGCGGGATTCAGATTGGTCGCTGCCCGGGGCAAGCGAGCTGGTGAGGAGGGAGTGGCAGTCCCTCGTTAAGCAGCCATTTCAGGCTGGAAGGGAGTGGGACCAAGGGACAAGGGCCCAGGGACCCCATCGGCCAACGGGGTCTTCTAAAGATAGCCAGGACCTGCCTGGGCTCAAGGTGCCACAGAGCCTGGAAGAGAGTGGGGAGGGGGTGGACAGGAGGGGTGCCCACTCGCACCCCCACCACCGCCTCTCACCCACTGAGTCAGCCTAATGGTTTTTACAGCCCTCCCTGGGCACAATTACTGCATTGGTGGCATGACCCGGCCTCCTAATGGGTGTTTATTCTGTTGGCACGAGCACCCTCAGCCTGAGGGCTGGCCTCCCCACCAGGCCCCGCCCCCCCGGGCACACTCAAACAAACACTTCCGCCCACACACTCACCCGATGATGGGTGCTCACATGTCCCCAGAGAGACTTTCTCCCACACACTGGGCACAGGGACACACACGGCTCCGCAGGAAGTCACAGACCCATGCTCAGGAGGCGCCGCTGATGCCAGGGAGACACATCTGGGGACACGTGTGCAGCATCCCCATCTCTGATCCGCCCAAGCCCAGGGTTGTCTTTTACTCCCAGTGCCACAGAAACACGGGCGGGCAGCTAGAAGTCCTGATTCTGATCGGCAGTTCGACCAGTCTCTCTGGCAGCCCTGGGGCAAGGGGGCGTGGAGCGGGGGATCCTTGTCTCTCTCAACTTTCCCTCCCTGGTCCCTTGGTGATCACTCTCCAGGTGGCATCTGTCTTTGCCCTCGTGTGCTGGCTCCCATGCTGAATTGGGTCCTTATATGGGAAAGTCATTGATTCCGAAGACACCCCGCAGAGAGAATGGTCTCACAGACACCACCAAGAAAACCCCTATTCCCAACTAGCATTCCGTGGTTACCTAGCTCCTCCGCCGGGTGGGGGTGAGAAATTGACATATGTATTTGGGGGTGGGGGTACACAATTCGATTCTTCACACACACTTGCAATTACATGGTCACGTGTGCACATGCTCCAAACACTCCCCCCACATCACCCATCTTTGCTTTCTCCCTAGTTTACCCTCAAGGGGAGTGAGGCCGACCCCGGAGGGGAGCGTTCCTTCCGGATGCCCCTCCTAAGTCCCTTGCCACCGCTGGCCTGGGAGATCTCAGAGTAGCGAGCTCCCAGTCCACAGAGGAGTCCAAGCACTGGGCAAACCAGTGGGAAGGGGACCAACTTCCAGTGGAGGGTGGGCTAGGCGGTCGCTGGAGCCCTTGGCAGCCCTTAGGGGTGACCTGGACAGTCCTCTGAAGGGTCAGGCAGGCAGGGAGGATTGGAGAATGAAGGCAGATTGCAGGCTAGAAGCTGCCGTTCAGGCTGCCCACCTGCTCACTCGTCCCCCACCACTAAAGTGAGCCAAGCCTGGGCTTGAGGCAGGAGGCCAGCCCCAGAGCAGATGGCAGCTCCGTGCCCAGAGGGCAAAAGAAGTTTTCCGGAGCCCTGGCCCGGAGCTGGCTCTGGCCACCTACCCAGCAGCATCCTCTACTCTGGCAGACAGCGCCTGACGGCTGGAAGAATTCCGTCCGCCACAACCTCTCCCTGAACAAGTGCTTTGAGAAGGTGGAGAACAAATCGGGAAGCTCCTCGCGGAAGGGCTGCTTGTGGGCCCTCAATCCAGCCAAGATAGACAAGATGCAGGAGGAGCTGCAGAAGTGGAAGAGGAAAGATCCCATCGCTGTGCGCAAGAGCATGGCCAAGCCAGGTGGGGAGACTCTGCACAGGGGTGCTGTGGAGCGGAGGCTAAGCCAGGGTGGGGCGGGGAGACCTCCTGGGGAAGGAAGGACTGACTCCCACACCTGGGCTGTTCCCAAGGCTGGGTGGGGTATTGTGGAAGAAAGTGAGGCACCGGGCTCCTGGCATCAGGGGAGCCCTCAGCCCCCCGGGGCTCAAAGTCATCTTCCTCTCTCGGGTCTTTACAGATGAACTGGACAGCCTCATTGGAGACAAGAGGGAGAAGCTGGGCTCCCCGCTGCTGGGTTGCCCACCCCCTGGGCTGGCAGGCTCAGGCCCCCTCCGGCCCCTGGCACCCCCCGCCGGGCTCTCCCAACCACTGCACTCACTGCACCCAGTCTCGGGCCCCATTCCTGGCAAGAACTCCCTGCAGGACCTCCTCGGGGGACATGCAGCCTCCTGCTATGGGCAGCCATACGCACACCTCTCACCGGGCCTGGCCCCTCCCGGAGCCCCGCAGCCTTTGTTCCCGCAGACGGATGGGCACCTGGAGCTGCGAGCCCAGCCAGGCACCCCCCAGGACTCTCCTCTGCCTGCCCATACCCCACCCAGCCATGGCGCCAAGATGCTGGCCGAGCCCTCCCCTGCCAGGACCGTGCATGACACCCTGCTGCCAGACGGGGACCTCAGCACTGACCTGGATGCCATCAACCCCTCTCTCACCGACTTCGACTTCCAGGGTGAGCTGGGGGTGGGGCAGGGGAGAAGGGGCAGGACTGGAGAGCTGCACCTGGGCAGGAGGTCCAGCCTCTGCTGGCTTCCAGGCTACACTAGGTGTTACGTTTCTGGTCAACCCAAGCAGAGCAAGCCGAAAGCTGGCAGAATGGGTCAAACTCGCTGCTATCCAGAGCCTGGGGCCAAGAGGCATGCCCCTGCAATCTCTGCCCACCTGGTGCCCGTGAACATGACCCCAGCACCCCTCCATCAAACCACTCTCAGGGTCTACTGATGATCTGCATTTTCCAGTCCCACAGGAGAAGAGACCCCTCCCGCCCCTGGGCAAACGCTTGAGGCCGAAAGCTGGGTCTTGCTGGGAGAGGTTTCATCCACTACACTCTGTCTTGCCTGTGCCATCCCTGCATCCGACCGTCCTTTCCCATCTAAATTCAGTCCAAACACAGGAGACCAGGGGGCCCTCGGGCAGGGACTATCCACAAGCAGGTGAAGGCATTCCATCCTCCAAGGGTTCTCAGTCTGGCGAGGTGACAGCCCAGGTGTCGGCTGTGCTTGTAGGAAGATACAATTCCGACCCCTGCCTTGCCCCACTCAGTCCAGAGACGGGACAGAGCTGAGGCAGCCCCTACCTGAGGGACGGTACAATAGGGAAAAAACAAAACCAGAAAAGGCTCGGTCCATGCTGACACATGACCACCCTACAGGACAGGGTAGAATTGCCCTGGTGGGTTTCTGAGACTATAAATCTTCACGGGAATAGAAAGCCTCATTTTTCCCTCAAGGGGCAGCTGGTGGTTTTGAACCACTGACCTTGCGGAGAGCGGCCCAGCACGTACCCACCATGCCACCAGGGCTCCGTGTGCTTCTGAGTCCCTACTAAATATCAGTTGCCGTACTAGTCTTTGTACACAGATGCCTCTGAGCTGATAAGCGGATTAAGTCGAATCAGCTCATAGCGACCTTCGGGATAATGAGATAGAAGGGATTCTTAACCCATCTCATAGACAACAGGAGCGCCGAGAGGCTAAGTAACGTATTCAAAATCTTAGCATTCGAAAGTGGGGGTGGAGGGGACCCTGCAGCCCTGACACCCAGGCTGCAGCCCTCATGTGGCACAGAGAGGGGATCAGGTGTTTACTCCCCAGAGTCAGGTGTGCCTCCTGCCTCTGCTCCCATCCCCTGGAGCCTGCAATGAAGGAAGCCCCGCCCACCTGATGGGCTCCAGCAGTGCATTGTGGGAAGATCTTTGCTCTCAGCTGCAGACCCACCTTTCTTAGAGACCTGGGCTAGAACCAGGATGCAGAGTTCCCAGGGCCCCGGAAGAACATCAGAGTGCACAGCTTTTGCACCAACCCTTCCAAGAGGCAGCTCCTTGACCTTGACCTTTGCCCTCAAAGTAAGCGTCACCGGCGTGATCGGAGTCTCTAAGCTTTCAGGCCATGCCCCAGAGTCTAGACCAGGGGCCGGCAGACTTTTGAGACGGAAAAGCCAATCCTGCCCCTCGTGTCAATTTAAAAAGTATTCCAGCGCCGTCAGTTTAGGGTTACGAACAGATGAACTCGCGGTGATCTGAACAAAGTCCTTTAAAAGGTTTCATTTGACTTCAGAGCCACGTGTAGATACCCAAAGAGCTACCTATGGCTCAAGACCTCGGTCTGCCGAACCCCTGGCCTAGACCACAGCAGGGTGAACCTGGGGTCCTGAGAGCTCCAGGAATTGCCCAGAGTCACACGGCTGGTACCGGCTCTGTGCCCGCAGGCAGCACGAGAGCGCCCTTGGGTCTGGGGGAAAGGGAGGGGAAGACGGGGCTCCTGGACTGCTTCCTGATGACGGCTATTTCTCTCTCCCCGCCTTTTCCAACCAGGAAATCTGTGGGAACAGCTGAAGGATGACAGTCTGGCCCTGGACCCCCTGGTCCTGGTGGCCTCGTCCCCGACATCAGCTTCCATGCCGCCCCCCCCACCGCCCCACTGCTTCCCTCCCGGGCCCTGCTTGGCAGAGACGGGCAGCGGGGCCGGTGAGCTGGCCCCAGCAAGCAGCGGGGGCCCGGGGCCGCTGGGTGACCTGCACCTCACCACCCTCTACTCAGCCTTCATGGAGCTGGACCCCACGCCCCCCGCGGCCCCAGGTGGCCCCTCTGTGTACCTCAGCCCCAGCTCCAAGCCGATGGCCCTGGCATGAGCGGTGCTTGGCATCCGCTCCGGCCTTTGCCTGACCCAGAAGTCCTGGCTGGCCGCCCATGTTGGGCTCACCTGAAAGGTCAAGGAAGGAAAGCACTACCTGTCCCTATGCCATTAAGCCAACCTGTTGGTTAGCTGGCAGCAGGGGGTGGAGAGGACACCACCCGGAGATGCTGCCCCTCACACATTTCTGCCAGCTGCTTCCTCAGAGCCCCAGAAGACCACACGCCCGAGCAAGCAGAGGGCACTCTCCCCGACTTCCCGACACGCACACTGGAGCTCGCGGGTACGCGACGACACAAAATTCTCCTGACGCATGCCCAGCCACATGCTCGGTGCCACAGGTGACAGGTCTGCACCACGGAGAATCTGGCCTCACTCCTGGGGCAGCCGAGAGCCAAGGGGCTTTGTTACCAAAAGCACGGGGCTCGCATGCCAGGTCAAAGACCACCCCGGAATCTCATTCTGGCGACAGCATTCTCTACAGGCATTTCTTTCCCAGAAGCCCCCTGTATTTATTGCCCCAACTACAGCCCAAGAGCCCAGGAAGGAGGGGAAGGCAGAGTCTCTCCCTGAGTTGTCTGTGAGCACCCTGGGGTGGAGGGGTATGGGCTGAGAACCCGAGATGCTGCCCCTCAGCAGCACCCACTCTGTCCAGTCTCTCCCCCCTTCAACAGACGCTCCCTCCGCTCCCTCCCCCCGGGGCGCTCACCAGAGGGCAATGTCCACTTCAGGACCAAACTGAGCCCAGTTCCAGGACCAAGTGTTTGGAAAAGCCCTTGCCCTTAAAGACTTGAACGTGTCCTCTTCTCCCCGTGCTGGGTGCAGGAAGGGCCCCTCTAGGTCTCACGCCTTCTCTCTAAAGATCTTCACATAGGTTAAGTCCCAGCCCACTAAGCACCTCCAACTGTCCCAGCGAAGGGATGCCTGGTGGGTGGGTGGGAGGCACCCATGCCCTCCCTCCCTATCTCGGCAGCCAGCTCCGACAGCTTGGCAAACTAGGATACCCAGGAAGCACAAGGAGTCCCCGGACTCCGGGGCCCGGCCCAGGTGCTCACCCTTCCTGCCCGAACCCTGACCCCCCCCACCAAGTGGGAGCCTCAGTTTACCCTGTGCCTGGGGGTGACCAAACCCCCAAAGGCTGGTCCCAGGTTCACACGAGGCACCAGCAGACCGCCAACGGCCTGCTCTAATGGTTGGGAGATAATAAAGCAAGTGCCTTCTGGTCCGGGCTGTGTCCCTTCGTGTCCGGCCTCCCCCCACCTGGGCAGAAAGGCCAGGTCCCCACCAGTGGTAGCCCCTGTGCCTGTGACATCACCCCCTCCCCACCCAGGGTCGTGAAGTGCCCAAATCCAAAGAGGAAGGTCTCTAGGATGACCAGACCCAGCCTCGAAAGGACGAGGGAACAGGTAGACAGGCCTCTCCACAGGAGGACTTCCCAAGGGAAGCAGGAGGATGAGGATGCGCCTTCTTGGAGTGAGTCTTCCTTCTCTACCCTTCCTTCTGAGGCCCACTCCCTGGTCCACTCACCCACCCACCCCCTCCAACTCAGAGCAGGGTCACCCACCTCCACCTGTCCTCAGCCCTAAGAGAGGCGTTCAGAATGGTATGGATGGAGGAGGCTCTGGTGCTAGGTGTGCTGCTGGTCTGGGAGGGTGGCATGTGGCTCATCCTGCCCAAAACAGTATGGAGAAGATGTGGATGGGTTTGTAGTCCAAAGCACGGGTCTATGAACCTCAGGCTGACTCAGAGAAGCCACAGACAGAGCCTCTGCCTAGAGGCTTCGTCCCGGAGGCAGGTCTGTGGCCAACCAACAGCCTCCTGCCTGAGAGGGCTCCAAGGAAGATCCCCTAGTAGACCCAGCCCTGCAGCCACAGCCTCCTGCCCAGGGGCTCTAGGGCTGAGTCCAGGGTGGGAGCTGCAGGGCCAGCTTGTGTGCCCAAGAAAATATACCCAACTGTATTGAAATGAACGAAGATCAGAGGCAAGGGTGGACCCCAGCTCCAGACCACTACAGGCTCCTATCATGATACCCAAACCTCCAGGGGAGGATGATGTGTCGTGGGAGGACTTCACTGGTGCCCCTTCCTTGCCTTGGACCCTGGGCGCTCAGGCACACCGACTCTACATTTCCAGCCTAGGTGGTGATCAGATGGCATCTCCCTGCGCACGCAGGCTGGGGGCCTCACGGCACACCTGGACAGGAGCAGGGCCCAACACAAATACGACAGGTGGCAGGTGTTTGTCCTCAGACTGACTTTCAGACTGGAAAAGAGCCCCTAACTGCTGCTCCTCTGCTGCCCCCTACCGGCCCCTCCACACCAACAGGTTAGCCATCAGTTTAGGAGGGACCGTCATCTAACCATGGGACCCCCCCAACCATAACAGTATCTTCATGGCTATGTCATCACTGTCATTTGGCTACTGTTATGCATCGAGCGACCCCTGTGAAAGGGTCGTTCGACCCCCAGAGGGTCGCGACCCCCAAGTTGAGAACCGCTGAAACGGAAGCAAAATCTGGAAGCCCTCTGTCTGCGGAAACTGACTTTTTGTTCAAGAACACAAAGCTTTTAAGTTCTAAAAGAGGCCATCATTCCAAGGCTCCTACACTTGGATGGGGGAGAAAAATGACATCTCCACTTTCGGGAAACCAAACAGCAATAACAAGAAACCATCGCCAACAAGTAGATCCCGATTGCTAATCTCCACCTGAATTCCCCTCCACAACCAATGTCGGCAGCTAGGCACCGCAGCACCAGCACTGCCTGTGGTGTTGTCATAGGCCATCCTACCACGCCACAGGAAGGTGTGCTAGTGGTGCGAGAGTTAAGCACTTGGCTTCTAGCTGAAAGGACAGGGATTCGAACCCACCACCCCACAGAAGAAAAGGCCTGGTGATAAAAGGTCCCATAAAGATTTCAGCCTGGGAAACCCTCTGGGGCAGTTCTACTCTGAACAGAATGGAGTCAACTTGAGGGCACAAAACAATAGATAGATAGATAGATAGATAGATAGATAGATAGATGGATGGATAGATAGATAGATAGATAGATAGATAGATAGATAGATAGATGATAGATAGATAATAGATGATAGATAAACTGATTGATGGATATATTGATAGATGATAGATGGATGATCAATAGATAGATGATAGACTATTGATAGTTGATAGATTATAGATGGGTGATCGATAGATAGATGATAGATAGACTATTGATAGTTGAGGCCAGAGTAGAGCGGGTCCATTGGGTGTCTGAGGCTGTGAATCCTGGTGGAATTCGACAGCCTCGTCTCGCTCCCATGGAGTGGCTGGTAGAGTTCAACATCCACCTTTGGATTAATAGCCCAACATGTACGGGCCCCAAACCACCGGCCCATGAAATCATTGACACCCACTAACACCACACGGCTCCCCAAAGAGAAGCCGCTCCAGCCATGACATTAGGGGTGAGTTCGTTCAATGCTTGACCCATACGGCCACAAATGATGTGACAGATATCCAACTGGCCCTTGGCAGAAAAATGACACCCCGCCCTGATGAGCCTATCTCACCACCAGCGATCCTTGGTCCATGCTGGTGGAAGACTAAACCTGTCTTGGCACTTACCCCCACCTCCTGGCCACCCAGTTCCTCAGCCTCCAGGGAGACCCCTGTCAGCAGTGAGAAGACATCGGCACTCCTGTCCAGCCAGCGTGTTCCTCAGAGGCTGCGTCCCGGGCTCCCGTTCTCTCAGGGGTCCTGCCTGTCTTAGGAGCACGATCCGGTCCATTCTGTGACACCCTACAAGGCAGGGTGGAGCTGCCCTTTGTGAGTTTCTGAAATTGTAACTCTTTTTTTGTTTAATCATTTTATTGGGGGCTCGTACAACTCATCACAATCCATCCATCCTTCCATTGTGTTAAGCACATTTGTACATTTGTTGCCATCAACATCTTCAAAACATTTTCTTTCTTCTTGAGCCCTCGGTATCAGCTCCTCATTTTTACACACACACCCCGCCCCCCACAAACCCTTGATCATTTTTACATTTGAGATTGTAACTCTTGATGGGAGGAGAAAGCCTTGCCTGTCTCCAGTGGGGTGAATGGTGGTTTTGAACTGCTGACTTTGAGGACTGAAGCCCAACCCATAAGCCCCATGCCACTGCAGCTCCTCGGGACTACTATAAGGGGGCTTCAAAAAGTTCATGAAAAAATGAAACCTATAATGGAATTTTTCCATGAACTTTTTAAGCCCCTGGTATCAATAGACATCGTCCTTATCATGTATACAGACTTGTGTGAGGTTTGTGTGACCTGTCATAGAAGGCAAGGACAGATCTTTAGCCCTGAAAAGAGGGACTGAAGGTTGGTCAGAGGCAGAAAAGCTAAGAGATCTGGAAAAACAGGGGAGTCTTGCTAGTTCCTGGTCTCCAGCCGTCGCTGTGCATAATCAGTTTCCTGTATATTTCATGGGGAGCCTAGTGGTGCAGGACCTAAACAGGAGGAAGGAAATGTGGCCTCGGCTTTTCAGCAACCCTCTGGGGAAGTTCTACTCTGTCCTGCAGGGTCGCTAGGGGTTCAAAGGGACCCCACAGCAATGGGTTTCCTTTAACATCAAAAAACGTTCATCACAGATGTTGAAGCCTACTATTCTATCCCTCCCACCCTAATTTCCCACCCTCTCCTTATGTAAAACCCACAACAAGGAGCAAGAGAGAATTCCCAAAGAGTCACCTCATTGTTCCCTTTCATTTCCTGCTTCCGGGCTCCCGTGCCAGTCTCCCGCAGATCCCCAGCCCTCTTGCAACTTGGCCGAAGGGCATGCTCTTGGGATGGGGGTGTCCCTGCCGGAGAAAGAGGGACCTTGTTCTGCACACAAAGGAGATCCTGCTCACCAGGGTCTGACCACAGTGCTGCCTTCTTCTTATCCCTGAGTACTAAAACCATCCAGGAAACGAGAATTTGATGGACAAGGAAGAATAAGAAAATTGGGGAAAGACTTTGAAGTGAGAGGGA